TCGATCAGAGACATAATTATATCAAAGGGAGCCTCTTACATCGCCCAACAAACTTTAAAAAGGGTATAATCTTCAAAATATTGTATAAGTTAATTTATTTTTGTTTGATAGACAAAAAAAGTCGTTTTTACTATATAAAATACCAAATTTTTATTTAAAAACAGTTTTTAAACAATTTCCAAATTTCTTTTGGAGAAAATACCCTTCATAAAGTTTGTTGGGCTATGTAAGAGGCTCCCTTTGATATAATTATGTCTCTGATTGACTGGGTATTTTTGGTGTAATTTTTGATTAACTAAGAAAAACCAAAATGACCCATTTTTGGGGTAAAATTTCGTGCCCGAATTTCGCAAAATAAATTACACCATATTAATTCTGCTAAAATTTTAAGCAAATTTTGTCTGCATAAGTTTTCACCTAAACTCAACCCACTTTGAGAAAAACGGGTTTTAAAATTCAAGTTTAACGCGTTTTGTTATGTTAATTTAAATCAGCACTGTATTTCAATAGCTTTTTGATAAAACAATAAAAAAACTTTTGGACAAGAAAATTGAAAAACAATTTAAACTTTACGACTTTCAAAACGATTTCATTTTTTTGGTTTTCTCTTCACAGTGGCCAGAACATGCTGTTCGACTTGATTGGCAACCGACTATCCTTAAATTTGTTTGCGTTTTGATTGGTGCAAATTCTTGAGTTTGTTCAAGAACCTAATTTTAATATGAAAGTCAACGTTAAAATGTTGTTAGAAAGCGGGTGTAGCTACCGTGGGCCCGAAAGGCTATGATTAAATTTATTTGCGGGCTTTATTTGGACCTGTTCAACACTGGGAACTTTTATAACATTCTACGACTGAGAAAGTTATAGTATGATTCTTACTCGATCCAAAACTGCATGTTTCTTACTAACTGATTTTGTGAGATAAAAACTAACTCGAACCCATAAACAGCCCTAATCTGATTTTATTTTTTTCGGTTTGAAAAATTTTTGCTTCAACTAAAAGCTATTTTAGATAGCGGTAGTCCCCAAACATATTCCTTCCACTAACCGTCAGTCGTAACGCAATAGATTAACGATATCTAGACAGGGGTGTGCGCACAGTTTTTTGGGATGGTTTTGCGACTCAAACTTGAAAACTGTCGACCATTTTATATCAATTTTCCGAACTCCCCTACAACCCTCTAATGACCCTATTTTAAAAAAACTCTGCAAATTTAAAAAAAATACAGGCCAAAAATAATTTTTTGAGCAAAAATTACAATTTTGATTGCGCGTTTTCCACTCTGTTATAATGTATATTGATGTCTGAGATTGCTGGCATAAAAGGGATGCCATATTTTAAGATTTTTTTATAAAATAGTTGCAATAGTCTGAATGATAAACGTAACAGTGTTGAAAGTTGTTACATAATAGTCTAAAAACTAGTCGCTATAAGCTAAAAATTAACAGCGATAGTCTGAAAATTAATGGCCATAGTCTGCAATTGCGTCGCAATAGCCTGGCCATAATGTCGAGACACTCTGGATGGGGTAACGACAATTGAGACAATCCGATAATTTCTAGTCAAGAGAGTCAGGGAAAGTTCACAAGAGCATTATTTGGGGGTATCACAATGAGTATGCTTCAAATTTCAAAAAAATAAGGAAAAAAGAACACAATATCAAATTTATTGTTTTGGAGAACCATTTTGCTCAAATGTATAAAATGCAAAAAAAAAATAAAACACTAAAAGATCAAATTACATAAATTATGCATAATTTTGATAAAGTTTACCAAATAAAAGTGCAGCGATCGGTCAATCGTGTCTATTTTTGCTCGGTCGCTTCTTTCGTGTTGAACTTTTCTTGGTCGCACCGGTCGCTGGTTTTTTATCCTGGGTCGCGCCAGTTGTGGACATATTTCATTGGTCTGCAAAGTTTGGAATTAATATATTTCGGTCTTATTTTATTTCGGAAAAACCAAACTTCGGTCGCGTTAGACTAATCATAAAACCACAACCTCGGCCCACCACAATCTCTGATATGCAGCAACTGTACTGGTTTTTAATCACACCATCAAAAAATACACTGAATGAGTGCCGGTCAAAAAGCCGGTGGGATTTCAAACCAAATCGTAAAATTAGGGACTTCAAGTCGAACATTTTGTCAGAAAGTCATGTCATGAAATTTGAATAATTTTGAGTTTGTTTGGTGGAATTTCCCAACTTAATGAGCTTTCTCTACCAGTTATTGGCTATTTCTTGTTTTGAGACTCTAATTAAGCCTCTAATTGAGCCTCTAAATGAAAATTTAAAAATTCTTGAAGGGTTTTTCATGTGTACAATTTATGCATTTTATAATCCAGCTGATGCAATTATCTGATGTCATTCATAAGTGGTGCGTTGTCATGAATAAGGTTTTTTATGGGCTAATCTTGACCAAAACTATGAAAACCAACATTTAACAGATGAAAAGTTGGCTTTTTGAGGTGCTTTGTACAGTTTAATTTTCTACCTGAAGTCCCGTCGCTTTGTTGTCCTAGACCCACACTGAACATGATAAAACACCGCAACGACGCATATCTAACTGCGGGGAGGGTTATCTTGATGGATGACCAAATGATGGAAAACTTTTAACCAATCACAATCGTTAGAACAAAACCGAACTGATTATTAACAGAAAATGAATTATATATGAAAATTTGTGTATCTGATTATTTTTTTAATCGTTTAATATTAATTTTAATGGCCGGTATTTATTCGCTTTCTTTGGGGTTTTCATGATTCTTTTGAGATTTTTGAATTGCCAATTCTGATTGGCTGAAAACAACAGAAAATAAACTTCCATCTTTTGGTCTCTCCATCATGAGAAACGCCACCTCTGTTTGCTATTGATTTGATTTGGTTTTGTTTCTCCAAATTCGTGCCTTGAAGCTACTCTGAACCAGTTGATTCAATGAATGATACAGCTAGTTTCCTGTCCCGACTATTTATGTTTCGTTTCAACTTTATCTTTGACCGATATATTGCGGATCTTGTAAATTATTACCCCCCATGTTACCTTGTAATGATTAACCACCCCAATAATGAAAGAAATCAATGGTCAAGTATATGCGAGTGAGGTACCTTGTAACGAATTGCACCCCCTCCCCTTTAGCAAAAAACGAGTGATAGTTAACAAGATCCCATATTGCTATTTGAGTTTAAGTTTCTCTGTAATAACGATGCTGTTATTTCTTTAGTCGGTTCGGGTCGAGACGATGTTGCATGGTTTTAGTTTAGGGTTAAGCATGTCTAAAATCCAGCATATGATATGTTTGCGATGGTTCTCTTGCTTAATTGAGCTCAGGTCGAATTGTTTTATATAGTGATATTGTGGGGCTGGTAAATATTGTAATTGTATACCTCTCCTAATTGATTCCAAATATCAGGTTACCGAAGCCATTCATTATCAATTGACTGAGCCAACATAATTATCTATCTGCTAACTACATTCCGTCAAAATGCATCAGCATACCATGCACATGTAAATCAATTTGATTGATATCGAGCCATGAAACGAAGCAAAGCGCCATAATAGCGTTTCAGATTTATCAAATATATTATTTGTGTTATTTGAAAATGTCATCAGTTTGTGAAATCATCAAATTTATTCGGTTTTTCATATTGAAAATAAATCCCTTTTGAAATCATGTCGACGTTTTAAGGTACGAAAAATGTTTACCTTTGTTTCAGGTTTTATTACACCCTTAAATGTAGAATAAAACAGTTAAGAAGAGCTTGGAACAAAACCCTTGACCTATTTTTGAGCCCGACCGAGTCGCTCAACACGTGAACTGATTATTTGATCCGATGATTGGCATCTATTGTAACCTGTTTGAAGTTTGTATGCAATTAAAACCAACTATTCATTATAAGAAAACTTAAAATCACTTTCGCTCATTGATTTTCTCTTTTTCAAAATCTACTATTTGTATTACCAAAATATTTAAGTCTGCTGTGATCGCCGCAATTGCTCATTGAAATAATTTACTGATTTAGAATTTTATTTCAGTACAACCACAATACAATTACTTCATAGTAACTCAAAAAGAAATAAATCGCGTCAAATTTTTAATTTCCAGCTAGGAAAGGTGATTAAAAAAATGAATAGGTCTCAAGGCGACTAAAAAGAGAGTTTAGGGTAAGTTAAATTTAATCAGGAATGTCTCCAATTCAATTTTCTACCTTCACTTAACTTCATTCTTAAATTTAGTCTCCTAATTGGATAGAAGGAAACGTGTCGCTATTGCCGCCTTACTTCCTATTAACTTCCCGTTGGGTTTTCAAAACTGAAGCCCAAGTTAACTTATATCTTCTTTCATTATCACAGTTATTTATCGATTAAGTAGCACCAAATCTAACAGTTATGGTATGTCATAGGGCGCATTGGCACAATTTTAAGCCAGCTGTAAACATAAATGTAAATATAAACAACGCCACGCAACGACAACTCCTATTAACCCGAAACAGCAAAAACGTTTACTATTTGCTGCGCAACAATTTTCTTGGGTAAAACTAAGCAGAATGCTTTTTTTTCATCTAAGCATCAATAAATTTTAATAAATGAATCAGTAAAACGAGAGCAGTTCTTAAAGTTTCAACCATTAAAACCAGCCCTAAGAAATAAGCAGATAAAATATTTTAACAAGTTGGTCATTATGCTAATTGGGTCGGTAAAAGAAGATTATGAGTTTTTTCTGAGACTCCCAGCCTTTTTCTGTCGATTTCTTGATTTTGCGAAATCAGCTATTTGTTTCAAATATCAGGCTTTAAGACTTACTTGAATATTTTGCCCTTAATCCATGTTTAGTTCATGTTTTTAAGCTATGCGCCTCGTTGTTAACACCATGCTGCTAATTGACCAATTTTAGTGAAAACTTGCAACGTTTTTGCACTTTTACTTATGTTTATCGCCAAAAAATTTGTTTTAACGCATATTTCATAAAGTGTAAGCATATTTTTACCAAGCTGAATTTTCTGAATTGTCTTCCAACATCAAGCAGTGTGGTGAAAAAGCCCACTCTCTTATTGCCCCGGATTGCCTTACAGCCCAAAATGCTTCACTTTTGAGCGATTTAAAATCAATCATTTATTTATAACAATCTAATTACAGTTTTCACCCACACACAAGTAGCTCATTTACAACGGCCCGCTTTCAGCCCGTAAACCCAAAAAGCCCCCGAAATCCGAGAAAATCCTTAGAATATTGCAGTCGCTAATAGGCACGCGAAAGCTTCTTAGGAAAAAGAACAGCAAACTAAAGTAGCAATAAAACAAACTTTTCAAGCTGGGTTAATAAACTGCCATTTCACAATCGATTATTGAAGTAACTCGAATTGAGTATTTTATTTGACCAGAAAAGCTCCAGGTAATTTCTTTTGTTTTCAAAAAACCCAAAACTCAAATCTGTGAAACCCAAGTCAGTATCTAATTTGGAATCGAAACAGATTACCAAAAAAAAACAGTCAAAAAATAATTTCCATCAGTTAGGAATTAGAACCAACATTTACGGGTATTTGCGATTTATTTCCTTGAAACCATTAAATTTTTCATTTTTTCTGTAAATTGAGTTACGACAGAAGAGTTTCAATTAGAAATCCCAATTTTCCGTATTAATTTCTCGAACGTTTAAGTGAAGTATCCAGAAAATGAGTTCGCTGGTACAAACTGTTTCCTAATTTTGTTTCGGCGCTGAAAAAACCTTATCGCTAGAAAAATATAAACCACAAATTTTGAACAATATCTTTTTCAAAAAACTTCGACATTGAAACAAAGCCAAAATAGAGCTACTGATTGCTCTGCAAGTAACGCAAATGATCCCTACCATCTTTGAAACAAAAAGGAAATTGTAAGGAATTTTTAATTTTTCAAACTTTGAATGTGTTTTTCTAAGAGACAAGAAAGAAAAAAAGGAGAAGAATTTTTAAAATGAATTTTGACCTCCTGAACTAATTATCAAAAAAGTAGGACCCACACAACTTTATAATTTTCTTCCGACATTCGTATCAAAAGTAACGGAATATTTGTGCTCGGGGTAGTTTTTTTCCTTCAGACAAATTTCGACTTTCTAACTAGCCATTTTTGACGGAATTTGTTATGTCGCTCAAAAGGTGTTGTTGTCCTAAAATTAAATTTGAAAAGATACTTTGCTTGTGGTCATTTTTTGTAAAGTTGTGGGGTTTACAGATTGCCATTTTGGCCAATTTGGGGCCAATATCTCTCGATATATTTTGCGCTAACAACGCGTAAGCGGAGATTTAATCCATCTTAGAAATCGTTCCAAATTGGATAAACGAATCTTATTTTCCATAATTGATTTGTTACTAGGAGCGGAATCTACCACTTTGTATTCTATATGGCGTGTGGGGGGATGATTTTCACAAAGAAATCTCATTTTAAATTTTTTTTTATTTTATTTTATTACATTGGCTGTGATTGCGACAGATCAGCGCATATTTAAAAAAAATCTCATTTTTTAGGTGCACTGTGTTATTAGAAGGACTTGCGTAGAATTTTAACAGCAAAACAATCCGAAAAATTGGTGAAATTGCAGTTTTAAAGAAACGCAGATAAAAGAAACTGGTTTCTCTTGAGCTTCTTTTGTGGAATTTACCCACTCTAAGAAAATTATTCACCCTTATTGCTTTGGTCGGGTATAAATTCGTTAAGGGTTATAATTTTTTAATGTTGAATATGAGTTTGACGATTCTGACTTTTCTGTGTAAAAAGCTAGAAGAGTGATTTCAGAGGCATGTCTGCTTACTGCCTAGTTGATGTTCTCTTGGGTGAATAAGTGCTAATATCAACGAGGCAGCTCTTATATCAAGGCGAAGCCCTGAATGTTTCTACTGCACTTTAAGGTTAACTGAAAACTTTTTGGATTGAAAAATTAACAAAATAATTGAATGAATAAAACTACACCAAGCATAAATATTCGAAAGTCGGAACAATAAAATGTGTAGAGTAGTGAAAAACCCTTGAAGACAAGTTTATTTACTTACTGTCAACCAGCCTTCGTTTACAAAGGAAATGCGCGAAAAGCAAAAACTTCGGTCACTTTTTCTACCCCCGAAAAATTTTGTCACCCTAGTTGCTAGTAGAACAAAAAATTTAAGCGAGACCACTGAATAAGTGAAACCATTCTGGATATCTAAAATAAACGTTTGATAGGCAAATGTCGGTGTGTTTTCTGACTTCCAGAAGAAGTTTTTACCCATAGATTTTGTTTTTCGAACTACTGTGAATGTTGTTCCAAGTTATATGCACCACTCGGCCATTTTTCTGAAATCATAATTTTGATGGATGCGAAGTCATTGAACTTTTGAAAAACTAATATTTCATTTCTGATGCAAATGTTTTTTTTTGGAAAATTGCAGACAAAAACCATTCTATGGTAATTATAGACCAGTTGACAGTAGTGTGCCGAGGAGGGGGTTTGACCGCCCCCCTTAATTCTGGTTGTCAAATTTTTCCGAAAGGTCCTACTTTTGGTATAATTTCACGGCATCCGATTTTGGCTGACCAACCTAAAAAGTTTTCGAAGGGCGCCTTAGGCGCCATTATAGATAATTTTATGGGGGGGGGGGGGGGCGCACGCCGAAAAAACGCAATTTTTTGGTCAAAATTTTCCAATAAGTGCTTAAAAACGCCTTTTTTGGGGATATTTTTTAAAAAGTTTGCCTGCGGCGCAGAAACTTGTTGACAAAATAGGGTCCTTTTTAAAATTACATAGGTCGACCTAAAGAAAAAGACCTGCAAAATTTTCAAAATATTTCGAAAAACCGAAACCCTCACTAGAAAAATTTCTGCGCACGCCACTGCCAGAGTATATTGAGTTACCAAAACTGCCTCGATTTTGACTATGCCTCGGAGCTCACATGGTCTAAGTGATATAGCATAATACAGAACAATCAGTCGTCATTTCAACTATCAGTCGTCAAAAAAGAAGTTTCGATATGACTTTTCTCAGAATTGAAAAACAGTCTGATACTTTTTTTTGTTTATGAGGCTCAAACTTAGTGAAGACACAGATTTTTCAGAAATTTCAGATTAATTAAAAACTGGACAATTGATTAATATTTTAAAATTACTTCAAAAATTCTTCAAAAGTTCCAAACACATGTTGAAAAGCTTTTTTTTTCCGAAAAAATCTAATTTTGCATTTCGTCTTTTTTTGCAATATGATAAATTTTTCTGTTCTAGATACTCTCATGAAAAACTTCTCCTCCTTTTTAAGACAGTGACTTTAAAGTTGCGTCTTCTTCTTTCTAGAGAGTTAAAAATAACTTTGAAAATAACTGATTTCAGTTTCAATTGTTGAATCACAACTTCAGTGTTGAGAAAATATTACTCATTATCAAATAACAAAACAGCCCTGTAGGTTAGGCTAGAACAATAAACCTTGCAAAACTAACCAGGTGTTCTAGTGTGGTTTAACCCATTAATAAAACCCTGAAAAGTTTATTGTTGATTCCGCTATCCTATTAAAAGCGTTGTTCCTATTTCATATACATATTAAATCGGCTTACACCGTGGGGTGGGTCTTTTCGCACATTGAAACCGCGACGGGCCACTGCTTAATTTATTTTCTCAATTGGTTAAAATAATAATCTTTGTTTCAGCTTCTGAACTTCAAATTCGCCCAATCTGGCTTAGAGGATAATAGTTAAAGAGACAAGATTTTAAAGGATAAAAACTATCAAATGTCGAGACTAAGGTCCGAAGAGCACGCAATTATTTGGAAATCAAAACTCGATTTTGTGATTTACGAACGAAGGGTTCCAATTAACCGCTGAGTTGTAGTCCAAAACTTGGCGTTATTACCAATTTTTTACCAGACAGCGAGACATATTTTTACCAATTTATTAAACTAGAGATTAAGTCTCTATAGAATAATTACGCAGTCCTAAACGGTTTATTGTTACCATTTTATAATTTGGCGCTCTAATAAAAAGAGCCACAATTTTACAATTCAATATTTATTTTTGATCTTAAGAAGAGTAAATATTCAGCTGAACACTCGAAATTATGAAGAGTTTTAATCTGATCATCTTTATATGTTATGTCCTTTCATTTCTGCCCCTGCATGATTGCAAGAGTGCACCAAAGTACCCGTGCCCTAAAGAGTGCGAATGTTTTCCATTCGGACATTACTCCGAAATCGGCTTGAAGTGTAGAAAAGCTGGCATAACATCTACAGCGTTTTTGAGAAATGTACCCTTTCCAAATTCGGTCGGTTACCTTGACCTTACCGAAAACAACATTACGATCATCGAAAATCGTCACTTGTACGATTTTTCAAATCTTACCAACTTGATTTTGAGCAATAACGACATCGAGTTCATCGAAAGTGACGCTTTTATCAAGCTCGGAGCCTTGAAGCAACTCACACTAAGCCACAACAAGCTTCAAATCGTACCCGAGGGTCTTTTCCGGGAAAATACGAATCTGAATGACCTCGACTTAACCCACAACAAGATCCACGTCATTCCAAGTCGACTCTTCAAATCCAACTCAAACCTGGCGCATTTGAAATTATCTCACAACTATCTGGTTTGCATCGAGGAAAACACTTTCGGCAACTTGATCAATTTACAGACACTGTATCTGGATAACAATAATCTCACCACATTGTTTGAGAGTAACTTTCAGAACCTTCCAACCGAGAAGCTGACGAGGTTTATGGCCCATGACAACCAGCTGATTTGTGACTGCAACGTCCGCTGGTTCACAGGGTGGCAACAGATCATGCAGACGCACGCCTTACCTGTTCAGACGGAGCAGCTGCCCTCGATCAAGTGTTCGTTTCCGGCCCATCTGGAAAACACCCCCTTGCAGTTGGTGGAATCGGACGAGTTTGCGTGCTCAGACAGTAAGTTTCACCACCGGTTTTATCCGCCTTCATCACTATCTGATTTTTCTATTTTTACTGTTTTACATTTGCTGAATTTCTAGCTTTTTAAAACCAAAAAGATTTTTCAAAAGATTTAGTTTTGAAAAGATTTTCACTTGTTTAAACAATACTTTCAAATTTTTTTCTACTGCAATAACGTTGGTGTGTAAACTTTGACTAATTTTGCAATCATATTTGGGACTAGATGTTTTTTACCAATTTTTTGCATCTGTATTTCAGTTCATTGAATCTCAATTAGTGCTACGACTGCTTTTAGTTATCATACTTTTCGTAAGCTTGAAGTTTCTCTTACAGGTGACGACAGCGTGCTTAGTAACAACGACGGCTGGTGGGTAATGGTTAAAAATGGTGAGAATCGATCCCGTGACCTTTGTCTTTGTAGCTTTAGTGCACCCCGCATGGATAAATTATGAGCAGAAAAGTTGGCGTTGAAGTTTTTAATAGATACAGGCTTGGCTTAATTCTCCAATTAATCAAGAAACTGAAAAATAACTGCTGGCAATTATGAGCTTTTAAATGCTGAACGAAGTTTTTTGCAAGCTTCTGGAATTCACTGGCGAACACAACAGAAATCTGAAATTTTTCAAGATTTTCAAAATTCGAAAACAAAAGTTAAAGTTTTCATAAATCTGGGATAAATGCAACTATTATCGCATAGTTTAGAAACTTCAGAAGCCCAGAGACCGCAACAAAGCAACCACTGCTTACACCCAAAACCTGTCACATATATGCGTAGAATTTTGCCAAGCCTGGTCATTTCACTAATCGAAACAAATTCAACCCTGCTATAACCTCAGTTATATCAGTTATCGCAAATTTGACTGTTATCATTGGAATGATTAAAACTGATTTTGGAACCAGAAGTTGTTTGTAACTTGAGAATAAACTTCAATGTAGCTGGTCAATGAAGGTTCTCATTATCACCACCTTCTTATGCGATACTACACGTTGTTTTCGTTATTTCAAAGTTTATCTAGGTTTTGCTAAGCAAAAATATCAGTTTTGTTTGATTAATAGATTCTATTTTGGGTTCTCATGGTTAAACACGCGCGAGTGTTCATGTTTTTACACGATATGTGATTTAATAAAAAAAATTGCAATTCAGGCTGTTTTTTTAACCAGACGGAAAAAACAGACATTTTGTTCCTACGATTGAAAATGAGGGGAAACTTTACATTCAGGTGTTTTAATTTTTTTTCTTTTTTGTTGTTTATCAGAAAAATTGATTTGTCGAGAAAAATTGAATTGAGTTTTTGAAATTTAGTCTATTTTCGAGGGAGTAACGCGATCGAGTAGCGCTCTTTATATGGAAAATTACTGTTTTTTCTAGACTTTTAGAATAAAAAAATTTGTTTTACAAAAAAAACTAATTTTGGATGTTTCATTTAGTGCTTGTTTGATAAAAATAGGTTTTTCATCTTAGTGTCGATAGAAATTGTTTTACATTTTTTTTCTGTTTTTAGACTACAGTAGACAAAATTTACCGACAAGCTAACTTCTCCGGCTCTTTTCCAGTTTCTAACCCCCCTAGAAAAAATCTAAAATAAAAACTGTTCAAAAATTGTTCACACGACATTTTGCATGCTAAAAATGCTGTACAAATTTATTCACTTGTTCACGCTGACACGTTTTAACGCAGTTCTTAACATAAAAGGTCAGTTTAAATAGACTTTCACATATTGAATTTCAGAAAATATCAAAGGGGGAGGACTGGAAAAGAGCCGCTTCTTCACCTTGATTTAATATTTGATCATTAGTTTTAGCCAATGAATATCTCATTACTTTCTCACAATTCAACTAATTTAGTCTTTCTTTACTAAAAATCTCAGTAAGATTAATATTGAAATTTGAAATTTGAATTACTTTACCAGCTACATATACAACGCCAAAAGCAATATATTATACCTGGAGGGAGATCCTAAAGAGCAGTACTGCTCATCGAGTAGGATATCCTGGAGAGTAAAGAGAAGACAGCCAGCATCAATTCAACAAACAAATTAAATTAAGGGCTGAAATTGAAAAACAGTTCGTAGAGGTCCTGATTGTCTTTTAGGTAATTTTGAAAAAACTGTTTATAGAGTCTCAAACAACTAACTTCTGACATTTCATGTGTATTAACAGGTATCAAGTCATTTTGTTTTAAATAGTTAAAAGCCTGCACAATTCTAACTGTAAGCGATCTCTGTTTAGCGGTAGTAGAAAATTTTGCCACTTTAATTAAGCCTTTTGCTTTGCTCCTGGTACATGGTCCACTTTTTTGGGAGAAAATCTGAGACAGAAAACCATTTTTTCTGTCCGATCGCAATTCCATAAACAAGTACTTAAACATCTCAAAAAAGTATAAATCAAAAACAGTAAGCAATTTATTTACGTCCATAATTTCTTTTAATTGATTCATATCTACGTTTGAAAACAATTGCTCTCAAGATTTTTTTGTAGTTTCATTATCTCGGTAAGGTGAGATTGGGATGTATTGCCGTATATTAAAATTCCATTAGTGATTGTAGGATTTACATATGCTTTGTAGAAGCGAAGCATCTGCTGTTTAGAAAAAACATACCTAGCTTTCCAGACAATGCCACAAAATTTAGTTAACTTTTTGCAATCATGTTCAATGTGAAATTTGAAAGTAATTTTCTTATCAACAAAAATGCCTAAATATTTACACACATTTGTAATTTGAACTGTAGTACGAAAAGCAAAGTAATCTTTTGAAAAGTTATTACCAAATTTCATTATTTGAGTTTTACCAGGATTGACACAAAGTCCATTCGTTCTGAACCATCTATCCACTTTATTTAACGAACTATCAAAGCTATCGCAACAGTTTTTTTCTGCATTGCATATTGTAGTATCATCAGCAAATAGAACAACCTCAGATCCTTCAGCAATTTTTCGGAAGACCATTTATATATATTAAAAACAAAAACGGACCTAAAACTGACCCATGCGGTACTCCACACGACATAGAGCGACTAGAAGATGTTTTATTATCAGTTATGAACAAATTGAAACCGGTTTGTAAAGTAATTTTTCAGAAGACAAAAAATCCGGCCTCTAAAGCCGTATTTTTCCAATTTTGCCAAAAGAAGATCGTGATTTATGGTATCAAATGCTTTTTTGAGATCAACAAGGCATGATTGACCTACCAATTTTTTGTCCTATCCCTCTCTAATAAATTTGGTGAATTCAATTAATGCGTCCACGCATGACTTTTTCTTTTGAAATCCAAATTGTTTTTCATAAAGAATCTTCTGCTTGTTAGCAAAGTTATACATTCTATTGAATATTTTCCTTTCGAAAATTTTGCTGAGTGAACTGAGTAAAGTAATAGGTCTATAATTTTCCAAAGATTCTTTTAAACCTCCCTTCAAAAGGGGAATAACTTTTGCCACTTTTAAGCCTTGAGCAAAATAACCACTCGCAACACATTGGTTGAAAAGGCTGCAAATTCTTACAGAAATAACAGGGAGCGATACTTTTATAATTTTGTTATTTATGCCATCATGACCATTTGAACCTTTATTTTTCAACATATATATGGCATTTTCATTTTCCTTGTGGGTAATTTTATAAAAAAAACCATTGATTTTTCGATGCAATCTACATAACCCAACGCTTTTTTGTAATCAAATTCAGGATTTCTCAGTTTCTCGCCAATTGAGGCAAAAAATTCATTAAAAACATCAGCAGCAAAAAAGTTCGTGTTTTTGGAGTTTCCTTTGCAAAATTCATCAACCTAATTTTTTGGATTTTTTTCGGCCATTTTGATGGTGAAGGTCAGATATTTCAAGCAATAAATCCTAATCAAAAAGCGCAACAATAAGAGCAACTAATCTCTAGCATTCATTGTTTTTCGAATGTCCATTTTTTCAGAAATTTATCCAATTATTACAAAAGGACTTGATTGAGGCAAAGGGGTTAAAAGTGCTGACAAAGCGGTTTGCTTGAAGCTACTAAACTCAGATTCAGATAATCATTATCACACAGCCAGGTTTCGCATAGCGCAATAATCAAAGGTTTTTGTTCTAACTGGTCAATATCTATAACGAGTTGGTCATGCTGGCATCTGAGGGACATTATATTTGAAAAACACAAAAAACTGTCTTTTAAGTTGTCCCATATGACGTTCTTCTACATTTCTCTCCATTACAAAAAAATAAGACTTCAGTCAAGTAGGTTGAATTTATTTGTTAGCTTCTTCTGTTACTGTTTTTTCTATATTGAGCGCTTCTGATTCATTTTAAATATTTAATTTCTTTGAGGCCTGATTATCAAGATTCAGTTTTTCTGGCGATAAATTCCTCTCTGACCATCTCCTCGAAATACCAGGAGTTGAATTGGTATTTAGTTGAGCACCAGTATGGCGCCCAGTAATGAAGGTTTTTTGAACTGCTTGAGGATAGTTGTGAGGTCTTGGCCGGCTTTGATTGATCTGTTTTTGGTTGCAATTTTAGCTAGTTGTTCCACGCCAGCAAGACTATTTACACTTTGGGAATAAAATGAGCCATTTGGTCGTTGGCAAAAAACTTTCACTTGGCAGTTTTGATTCGTTGTAATAAGATTCATGTTATCGCATTTCCTTTTAATTTCCATATCTGATTTCGGCAACCGTTCAATTATGAATAAACTTTTTCCCTGAACGCCCTTCTGCCCAGATAACATACGCCTCCTTCCGAAAATCTCATCTATGTCCGAAAAATAGACAAATTTCAAAATGATTGGAACATTCTTACCAGAATCCTTGCGCGTCGGAAGAGGATGACATGCCTTGATAGCTCCCAGTGATAATACATAGCCATCAAAGTAATGTGTAACTAGGTTGCACATGTCAAAAATCAGGTTGGGGGAGTATGGATTGATACCAAAATTCGAAAAAATTAAGCAATCTTTGCTCGAATATCTTTCCTGAAAATTTACTCGCTTTTCGAGATCAAAAACATTGTTTTTTAAGTCAATTATTTCCTGGGTCTTTTCATTCAATACATTTTCAAGAGGATCAACTCTTGCCAAAATGCTAGTGATAATCGGAATCATTAATTTAGGATCAATAATGGAATCTGGGGGAAGATTTTTCAATAAATCAACGTAATTTTTTGGATTTTTTTCGGCCATTTTGATGGTGAAGGTCAGATATTTCAAGCAATAAATCCTAATCAAAAAGCGCAACAATAAGAGCAACTAATCTCTAGCATTCATTGTTTTTCGAATGTCCATTTTTTCAGAAATGTATCCAATTATTCCAAAAGGACTTGATTGAGGCAAAGGGGTTAAAAGTGCTGACAAAGCGGTTTGCTTGAAGCTACTAAACTCAGTGAATCAACTAAATGCGCTAACAATCTTATGAGGAGGCAGTTTGGGCTTCAAAACAATTATTGCTGTTAGACTTTCTTTTTTTATGGCATAAAATGTTGCTTTGAATTAAATCTTCTCTGCTTATTTTAAAAAGTGCAATAGCTTATTGGTTCTCTCTTTCCACGAAAAAATAGACTCCGAATCGGTAAGATTTTCAACCTTTGCGAAAGAAAGTGAGCAAAATAATGAATTGTGTTAAAATATTGTCCAACAAAATACGGGAGAGGTAGAAACACTATTAGAAATTATTGAAATTGCCAATTTTTGTCAATATTTTTCATTTGCGCTCCCAGAACAATATACTGAGCCTATTTTTTTGACAAACTTTTTTCTCTGGCTTTTTTTCTAAAAATCAGGTTTAAATCTTGTGTTTGAGCACTTTTGGAAAGTTTTCACCAAAACATTCCGTTTTTCTTTGACGCGCACTTCAAAATTAGGGTATGTCAACGCCAAAGACGCTTTTTAGAAATTTCACGTATGTCCATACCGTTGTAAGAAGATCCATAAAAAATACCGGAAGCGAGACTCTTTCGTAGGTGAGGGGGTCGATTCCCGCCTCCCCTTTACCCGCTCCCCTTTAATGCGAAACAAAGATACATTTATATCCAATAAACACAGTAGTGGATTTAAGGGGGCGGGATGGAGGCCCACCCCTCAAAGATTCGACCCCTGCTGTCTCAAAGGGTTCCCCATTTGTACTAATTTGAGCATTTCATTTTTTGCTTACTGACTCGTAAATGATTCTAGAGGCACCTTCGGCGCTATTATATACTCATTTGAGCGAAAAAAAAACTGATTTTGGGGTCAACATTTTCCAAAGAAAATGTCTAAAAGCGTTTTTTTTTGGCATAGTTTTTAGAAAAACTGCCTGCAGCGCAAAAAATTTGGTCAACAGAAACATGGCTTCTCTAGTGATTCGTGAGAGGTTACAAAATCATTTTTGTTAACCCTAAAAAAAGGTTGACAAAATTTTGGACAAAACTTATAATATATATATAAAAACTTCTGGAACACTTGATTTCATTTGATGTAAATCTTAGTTTACGCTATTGTTTCGCCCATTTGAAAATTGTAGAGGAAAATTTTATTTGATCATGTTTTAGTTTTTTTTTCCACACAAAATCAGCTATGACAAATAATCATCGGAGAGAGTTGAATGATAGATCAGATTGAAGCTTTTTCAGCCGTTATTTCAAGCCTCACAAGAAGGTTTGAAAAAGCGGTTTGAAATTTTTGGTTTTTTGTCTAAATTGGAGCTAGTAAAGCGAGCGAGCACTTTATTTATGCTTGATTTCGGCCGTTTATAACCTTCTCCGATGATTATTTGTCGTAGCTGATTTTGCGAGGAAAAAAACTAAAACACATACAAATACTCTATTCCACTACAAGTTAAGCTTATTCATGCTTAACCTCATTTTTATTCGAGTAAAATTAGTTTTTGGAGACTTTTAAGGCCATTTTGGGAATCAAAAACTTGAAAAGTTTGAAAAACTTCTCTTGAAATATATTTGAAAAATCGTTGATTTCTTTTTAAATTTTTTCAAAATTATGATTATTTTTTTTGCTTTTTGAGTCATTTTTCTTCGAAATCTGTCAAATATGTCTAAGTTATAGTGTTACGTCATATACTTTAACACACCACGCAGAAAAAGTCCACTTTTTTGAAAAAAAAAATTAACCGTAACCGGCTATCTTTGTTTGATATTTTTCAAATTGATTAGCACTTTGAAGAGTTTCCACTTGACAGCACGTTTGCCAATCCATGTTATTTCATTGATATTGTTCCACTTTTCGAAACAAAAATAGAAATATAACTGCTCGAGTTTTTTTCAGGCTTGTTGTTTTTATCAAAATTTTATACTTGTACTAATTAGCGCATTGAATTCATATCAAAAATATCAGAAATATCAAAAAAAGTTACCTGCTTTTATTTATAAAAGAAGTGATGATTAAATCTACCTGGTGCATTTATTTTTATAAAGAGAACGCTTATGCAACTTCACGGTAAAATCAATCCGAATTTATTTGCGGGAAAACAATTGATATTTATTTTTTCCAGTTTTCAGTCCCAAAAGCTACTCGAAACTCCAAAATTTCCGCGCTACGTGCAGTCGTGTCTTTTCATAGTTGATACAAAGTTCGATCTTTGATCAAGAAACTCGAATTTCTAATATTTTTTCAATAACATGAATTTGATCGGTTTTGCTTTTGAACACAAAAGCTCTTTATTCGATTACTGCGACCGCGGCAAACGATTTTAATCTTGACGGTTATCATGCTGGATATCTAGAAACCCGTTGATTTAAATACGAGCGCAGGTTAAAAAGTCAAACAACGGGACATGTTTGTGTAAAAAGTAACCTATAAGTTCAGCTCATCTTGCTTGCTTTCAGATCATTGTCTTGTGGTTTTATTTACTTAACCCATCAATCACTGTTCCAAAAAAACTAATTGGCGCCATCCTTAAATAGTTGCTTGCTGTTTATAAGTTACTGTATTTGCATAAAAATTATGTTGGATGGATTAAGAATTGACCATAGTTTTCATTGGCTTCAAAATTGGGAAGGAAAAGCACCAACAAGCACCGCACATTAATCGGCGAACTGCTTTGTAATTACACATTTGAAATCACAAAAAAAAACAGATAATTCAGACTAAGAGAAGAGTTGGATATTGGCTACCTGGCTCGGTCAATTTTGAGCTTCATCTGCTGAACACGGCGAGGTATTTTATTTTTTGCGGAAAATGAAAATAGTTCGCGCAGAAAATGAAATTTTTCATCAAGGGCGTCATATGTTCAAAAAAGTAATTTAAACGGAATTTTCAGGAAAAATAAATACATGGAAGCTTTTTAAAGTTGTTATTATAACTTAAAGGCGAAGAAATTTCGTTTGTGAAGAAAATGTTATGCTAGTGCTAGCTTCTCAGATTTGCTAAAAGCTATGAAAAAAACATGGTGGTATACAAGCCAGCCGACTTACACCATCTACCATTTAAAACCAGCAGAAAGTAGGCAAAAATGTAATTTAATCGTTTTTTCACAATCATGTAACAGTTCCGAAAGTCTTGAAAGAATCTTTCGAATGACATAACTTTCTTCTGGCTTGTAGACTGCGCATTGTCGGCTGGTTTGTATTCCTGGTTTATTCACACTCAAAAATAAAAGCTAAGTTGGCTGCTTAGATCCAATGGATAACCAAATGGATGATCCCAATTCCAAAACAGACGGGATCCAGAATGATGAGGGAATAAAGAAGCCTATCAGCAAGAACAGAGGGAGTCCCCAGACCATTCAAAAACTGACACCCGAGGAAAGACACGCGCTCTACTGTCCGGCGCCAAAAGTTTGCCCCGAAAAATGCGACTGCTATCCGGACGGAACGGTAGACTGTGGAAGCAGGGGATTAACCCATGTCCCATTTAACATCCCACAAAATGCAGTTGAGCTAAGACTGCACACGAACCAAATCACGAAATTGCCTAATTACGCATTCTCCAAGCTCAAAATGCTGACCAAGCTGGACATCTGCAACAACCATATTTCCGAAATTGAGCCCTATGCTTTCAGTGGTTTGGAGAAGTTAACACAGTTGAATATTTACAGCAATCAGATCGAAGATCTTCCAGTTGAGACTTTCAAGAGTTTGTCGCAACTGAATATTTTGCTTCTGAGTACGAACAAAATCAACTGTCTGCGTAGAGGACTGTTCGATAATGTAACCCATTTGCGACTTCTTTCCCTTTTCGGCAACAAAATCCGCTCGATTGAAGACGGAACTTTCAACAATATAAAGTCAACTTCAACTCTACACCTGGGAAGCAACCCTCTGATTTGCGACTGCAATCTTAAATGGATATCATTCATGCCGGCTAGGGTGTCATCTAGTGCCAAATGCGACTACCCCGAGAGAGTGGCTGGAAAAGCCGTTTCTCAGATGGACTCGGATGAATTCATCTGCGAGGGAGGCGAGAGAGAAAGAACTGCGAGCGCCGGATCCTGTTTCATCGATTTACCATGTCCCGAGAACTGTCACTGTCACCCAGAGGGGAAAATCGATTGCTCCAGAAAAGGACTGAAATCAATCCCTATGAATTTACCAAAGTATACCATCGATCTTGATCTTTCAGGAAACAAGATCTCAAAAGTTCTGGCTGATGGGTCGTTCAAAAATTTGCCAAACCTCCGCAAATTGGATTTGTCGGATAACAGAATCGCAAAAATTGAGTTGAATGCTTTCGACGGAGCTTACAATTTACACGAACTTGACTTGAAGAAAAACGAACTCACTCATGTTGAAGATGGCGTTTTTGAGTCACTTAAGAACCTGACTTCTCTCGAGCTGCGAGAAAACTACTTCAAATGCGTCAAAAACACAACTTTTACAGGGCTCAGAAAGCTATCTTATCTAAGTTTGGCAGATAATACAATCAAAACTATCGAGATCAACGCGTTTGAGAACCTACCTTTATACACGTTGAATCTACTTGGAAACCACTTGATCTGTAATTGCTACATGCAATGGTTCAATTCATGGCTGAATAATAAAATCGATTTGGTCCATGGGAATCCACGATGTCAACAACCCTCGAACTTGAAAGACCTCCCGATTTCAGATTTAAACAACAACGATCTCTCGTGTGATTTCGACGACCAAAACGCATGCATATACGACTCGAAATGTCCCGACTTTTGTACATGCGACAAGACTTTCGTCCAGTGTCGTGAGGTCTCCGTGAGTATTCCTCAGAATATACCCTTAGAAACGACACATCTCGCGATCAACTCGGCTCTGATCCAAGAGTTCAACCCAGCTGATTTCGAGTATCTTCCTAATTTGGAAATTTTGGATCTCTCGCACAATTTCATCGGAACTGTCGTGCCTCCGCCTGTTGACCGAACATTCAAAGGGTTGAGACGACTAAGGAAGTTGAACCTCAGCTACAACTATATTAAATGTATTCAACCCGAAACATTTCAAATTCTGTGGGAGCTCGAAGAGCTGATTTTGAACTCAAATGCGATTTCTCAAATTTTTGATACGACCTTTGAAAACATGACCCACATTAAGAAACTGGACATTTCTGGAAACCCGATCTACTGCGACTGTAATTTGAAATGGTTGGCAGTCGCTCGATTGTCCAGTGGAATCGAGATCAAGGGTAAATGCAGCGAGCCGGAAAGAACCAAGGACCTCGAAATATCTCACATACATCGCAAAGAATTTACATGTATGGAGGACGAGCCGCCAGCATACGTGGTTGGAAAATGCAACCCCTGTTCACTCAAACCTTGCAATGGGGGGACTTGCAAATTAACGAAAGGAAATGGGGACTTCATTTGCGAGTGTCAAGAAAACCACGAGGGGAGATTTTGTGAGAAAATCATTGATTACTGTTACGAGAAACCCTGTCAAAACGGGGGTCAGTGCAAGTCGCATCCTGACAACAATAAGTTCACGTGTACATGTCCGGATGGTTACCATGGAAACATGTGTGAGAAAAACGTGGATGATTGCGTTGATCATCAGTGTCAAAATGGGGGCAAATGTGTTGATGGGTTAAACGAATACACCTGTGGTTGCGGAGTTGGCTACAGAGGGAGTTTCTGTGAAATTGACATCGATATCTGTGAGTCCTCGAATAACCCTTGTCAAAATGGAGGCGTCTGCGTCGATATGGGAAGCGACTATCAATGCCATTGCCAGAAAGATTTCACGGGTAAGAATTGTGAGCAGAAGAACCATTTATGCCTGGACATCGATGGCACTCCTGTTTGCAAAAACAATGCAATGTGCCAAACTGATCTTTTCGGGTACCAATCTTGCGTATGTGAAGCGGGGTTTTCAGGAGCCATTTGTGATCAAAAGTTGTTCACGTCTGATGACACATCTGGACCTCTTAACGACGATGCATGCGAATCAAAGAGATGCATCGAAGGCCACGGACGCTGTGCAGTTGATACTTCCGAGCAGGCTGTCTGCAAATGCTTCGATGGATTTTCAGGCGAATATTGCGAGCATGTCACTTCAATGAAGTTCAACAGTCAATTCTCGTCCGTTCACGCAAACTTTGAATGGAGAGATGTGAAAAACTTCACATTTGTCGGAGTTTTCAAGGACGACGCCGGAATTATTTTCAGCTCAACCCTGAAAAACGTCTACACAGATTGTTCCGCATGTTTTCTCACTGTCTACATTCGAGATCGGAGGGTGGGGGTCTCTTTGAGACAGTCAAATGAAGGGAAAGTTATAAAACTTGAAAGCGGGGTCATTATAGCCCGGGATATCAGCAGCAAATTTAGCGTTAGAATGTCTCAAAGATATTTGTCAATCGAAGACCAAATTTCAAGACTTAACCCGGCACATATTGTTCTGGACTCTGTCGCAATTTCCGATGATTCTTTTGGCGTTGAGCAGTTCGTATTTGGGCACAATTCTAAGTTACCCAAAAAAGCTCTGGAACATGCGCAGGATACAAGCATTGGCTGTGTAAATGCTTTTTACTATAACTCGGAGCAATTCTTTTTCGAAAAAGCAGAACAGCAAAGTAAGATTGAGAGTGGTATTTGTGTCTACGATGATGCTGCAGATCCAAATCAAGGGGTCCTTATGGATACACCAGTGGATCCCCCCGAACCGAGGATTTGTGGGGAGCAAAAAGATCAAACCGTTTTTAACGGTGAATGCAAAAGTACCCGAACCTATAACATAGTTGCCGAGTGTCCCGCTACATGCCGCAACATGATTCCCAGTGGAGCGGACGGACAACTCACGGAAATTGGGGCCGAACTGTGTTGCCGAGTGACGAGATACCGCGAGTACTCAATCCGATTCGAATGTCCCAACGGAAAGAAAGAATCAGTGAGAAAATCAGTCTTCAAAAAATGCGAATGTGAACCATGCTAAACCGCAAAAAAGAGCAGTGAACATTTTTTATAGAGAATTTTGAGAAGTTTTTAGATTTTTCTAGACTGATTAAAAGCTAGAATGAGACGATGATTTAACTAATTTTGTGTTACATAGATGAACTTTCGAAGGGATTGTAATAAGCCTGAACTGAACAGCTAGAGTGTCCACACACCTTTTTAGCCGATACTGATTTCGAATTAGCGATAACTGAATAGAAATTAATTATATACACGATCAATTGCATTGAAGATGGATAAATGTTGCAATTTAATGTTTTAGTACAAATTCTAGTTCAAAACTGATGTTATATTCGAGTGGATATGCCAACCATTCCCGGGTTGACCAAAACTTCTTATCATACAATTTCCATATACGAAAAACTTCTTACCATACAATTCCATGCAATGCCATAGGTACAGAAAATTGTATGAAATCTCTATAATAAACATTTTTTCATATATGAAAATTGTATGACAATTATTTTTCCATAAACCAAAAAATTGATTTTTTTTCTAATTTAATTTCTGAAAAATTTTGGTTTGGGCTCGTAAAAATGAAATCCATGGAAATGCGGGAAAAGGAGTTTTAAATCAAAATCCGCTCACTTTTACACTGATAATTTCAAGCGAAAAATTTTGTTTCGATTTCATTTTTTTTCAATCAGGTAGTTGAAGCTTGTAAAACAGATGTCCAGAAAGTGAGATAAATTCGAATTTATCTTTTAGGGTACCCAAGAAGTTACTGCCGTCCCATCAAATAAGTAACTAACTGCAGGTTTAGCCGAATTTCTGTAGGCAGTTCATAATCAGACAGGCAAGGTAGACAAAGGCTGTTAATTTTTCGAAGATGAGACAAACAATGACTCAGATGACGAGATGGTTTGGATGGAGTTTTAGTCTCGAAGTCAAAATCAGAAGGCAGGTGCAAACTTGATTTGATTCGAAGAGAGATAAAAGCAGACACAAGTCTGACTAATTGATACACAAACTAACTGAGAGTCTTGGCAATCCCACACCGTTTTTTAAGAACCTACCCACACCGAGCGCCTGTGGATTCTAATCGATTATAATGGATTTCCGAGACAACAAATATTCCATTATAATCCATTACAGATGTAAAGTTCGGATCACGAAACTGATCATATCGCCATTATAATCACAAACGAATTTAGGGGGGGGGGCTGACGCCTTTTTTTAGAGATTTGACCCCCTGCCGACCAAAAGGGTCCCCACTTTGTAATATTTTCAGATGTCCATTTTTGGCTGACTGAACCTAAAGTTTTTCTAAAAGCGCCCTCGACGCCAATATGTACTAATTATGATAAGGGGAGCGCCTTTTTTGGCCTGTTTTTCAAAAATTTGCCTGCGGCGCAGAAAATTGGGTCAAAAGAGGCCCTTTATAGTGATTTGGAAGAACTCAAAAGATCAATTTGGTCGACCTAAAAAAAGTCGACAAATTTTCGAATTGCTATTTTTTCAAAATCCGCTTCCCCACCCCTTTGAAAAAAAATCCTAGATACGCCTCTGATTATAACCGATTTTTTTGAAAAAATACTTCATTGTTATCCATTATAATTGATTAAAATCCATTATTTTTGGCACTGAAATTGACTATTTTTTTCGAGATAATCCATTTTAATTGATTAATTTTACCAAAAATCCATTATAATAGAACTAAATTCAAATATTTTTTAAAAAATTTGCCAATTATGCAGCAAATTTTCAAATTCATATCATATATTTTGGTTATAACAAGCAAAACAGGTGAAAATTCAAATAATTTCAACAGATCCTAGCACCAAATTTACCAAAAGTTACCAACCCTACTGCTCTAAAAAATCAACCATAATAAATTATAATCGATTATAATGAATTATAATGACATAGATATATTAGAACTATGATGCATGGACTCTTTTCCAATTTTAAAGATATAGACAAAAAATTAAAAAACGGTTGTGATCCATGGAGTTCGGTGCGGGTAATGAAATAGCAAACCATCCTTCTAATGAGGTTTGATCCTCAGAAAAAAAAGGTAAATGAAACTATGAACAATTGGCGATAAAAAACAATTATTCGGATTTAATTCTGTCTCAGTTAATTTTGCATGGCAATCCATTTGAAAAGAGTCATCACAAAAAAAAGTAAAACAAAAGTAATAAAAATCAGGTTTATCCAGATAACTGGAAAATTAGATGATGAGACGTGGGTGTAATTAAGCTAAGACTAGTTTAAGACTTGATAAGTTAAGGGATCTCTACTAAACGAGCTAGTAGACTTAGACTAGACTTAGACTAGATTTATCTAAAAATAGATTAAAAGACGTTGGTTTAAGATATCTAAGCTAGATAAAAAATAGAATTGTTTAAGACGTTGAATTGAGAAATAGTTACTTAAAAACATTCAGTGAATATGATCAGTTGTGGCAAAAGCCGATGCGCTTTTGGCAGGTATCAATCTAAGCCAAGATTGGAACATAAGCAACATAAAGGCTAAAAGATCACTTTTGACATTCCCCTCAAAATTATAATATATGGCAGTATGTGTTATAAGAATTTTTTTCACCCACGGATGGCGCCCGAAGGGCAAAATAGCGAGAAAGCAGTAAAAAAATTCACTCCCAAAGATGGCGCCCGATGGACAAAAATTTAGCACTCGGTGAAAATTAAGGTCCACGTTGACCGGGTACAAAACTGAAAGGTTTTAATAAACTAACTAAAATGATGAAGTAGTTATGAGCATCAAACATTGTGCTGAATCATAATACAGAACAATCCGATTTGAGCAACAAACAAAAGTCGAAGTATTATAGCCCCAAATACAACGAAAAAATTTTGCGTAGAAAAGAAAAAGAAAAAAAAGAGCGTACCTAAGACAAAAAAATTTGAGTTATTTCACTAGATGCAAGTTTGAGTTTATCAGAGAGTTTATGCGGCACCTCTGTTCAAAGCTCTGGGTGTTATTGGGTGGCCCAGCAGATCAATCGCAGCAACAATTGAGGACGTTTTCAGCCAATCGGGTTTGTTGACTTTGGGTGTTTCGACGATGGCCGACGGTTCAGAGGGTATGCCTAATGGGTCGTATTTACTCTTCCGCAATTCCGGCTTGAATTGTTTTTTTTGGAAGGTGAGGTAGGCGAAATAATTGAGAAGGATATCATTTTACCCACCAGTTCCAATTCACGTCTTCTAGAGCTATCAGGGGTCGAGTGTCGTAAAGGAGAAGAATTTGGGGTGTTTAAGCGAGTTTTCTATTTCTATAGTAATTGTTTCTGAAGATGAGGTGGGCAGAGGAGTCGTTAGGCAAGTTGAAGAAAATTCACCCGGTCTGTTGTCTGGAGCTTCAACTAGGCTTGTAAATACCCTTTCTCCCAATAAAGATAGAGGTTGTCTAGCTCTAATAGGTCTCGTTTTATGTCTGATGTGGTGAATCGACGTTTTTCTTGTGGACGGCAATTTCATGGGCGAAGTTGCCTTCCTTTTGGTCATTCCTGTACGTTTTGTGTTAGTAGAAACCTGGGTCGGTATAGGGTCTATTCTCTGGATTTCGGGGTCCGTTTCAACTGGTTCGTAGTTGTGTTCGTGTTCTGGATTGTTGTTGGCTTTTGGAAATCGGTCGCCCCATCCTCGTTCAAATTTTCCCGTCTACTATTGTCCAATTTCATCTGACTATCGAGTTGGATAGTTGGTGGTATCGTAGATTGCTCAAATTTTTTGTCCTAAGTCTAAGTGGGTCTTGAACTGTGTTGTCTTGTGTATTTTCTAGATTGATTCTGGTAAGTAGCTTAATATCTTTGAGTATTACGAGGTCGCTAGGGTCGTCATCAGAGACCGTTTCCAACGACATGTTAGTGAGTGTTAAGTCTGATTTGTCTTGCGTTAGTGGTCGACTGGGTTGGCCCGACGGGAGCTGCTGTTCTTGGTTGCTCTCTGTGCTAATAGGACATCTGAGTCGCTTCCTCTCCTCTTCCTCCTCTCTTAACAGTGTTTCTCTCGAGCTATTCATGGCTGCATTTCGTCTAGCAATGTCTAATTCTTCGAATTTATACTGGGTATTCTTTTTGTTTTAAGCTGACTGCGAACTTTTAAATCCGACGTTTCTGGCTGGTTTTATCACTTATTTAGGTCCTTTTGAGGCATAGAACTTGATCAGTTGATTCTTCTTACGAGGGCTTGCCTTCTTTAGTTCAGTAGGTCTTGTCACGGCAGATTTACCGAGTACTTTACCACTTTTATGAGTTTTTGTATCATCCGAGTCCCTTACTATTTCTTCTTTAAGCTCCCTATAAAACGGTTCATCCTCTTATCTGTCTTGAGCTTTTCTATAGATAATGGTCTTACCCGATGGGTTACTTAGAACGGGATTAGCCACACCTCGGGTTTTTTCGTTTCTCTGAGCGAGAGAGGAGTTTCACTGGGGAGCCCGGTCTTGTTGGCACGTATCTGGTAGAATTTGCAATGTCAACTGAAGAGGAGGATTCGTCGTCCAAGTGTCCGTCCTCTATATCATCAGGAGCGTCCAAGACATGTCGTCTGTCCCGGCACATTAGTTTTCCTCCTTTATTTGTACATAACAGCGTTTTATTCCAATCCAAGTTTTTTGATTGGTGATCTACCAAATTTGGTGATCTAACATGGTATTTGGTGATCTACCGAAATGTGCTTCAAAGAGAGAGCAGCTTAGTGACTGTTGACTTACAGTTCTTGAACATTTTAAGATTTTAAGCAAGGCTGTTTCTAAAAAGGGTTGTGGTTTTTCTTGTGCCATGGCCATGAGTCAGTGTTCGATTGTTCTAATCAGTCGTTCAACCAGATTTTTAGCTTTCTGGTCGGCCTCTGGGCTGAATATAACGTTAATAAATTGTTCTTGACAAAATTCCTGGACTTCTTTAGAAATAAATCCCAATCCTTGATCCGTTCTAATGGTTCAAGGTTTTCCGTGCATATTTTAAAAAAATTTTAACAAAATTTATGACGGATTTAGCAGATGTACTTGATTTTATTTGCGCAGAAGCGAATTTTGAGAATCGGTCTACGCACAAGAGTTTTAATTTTTTGAGTTCTCCAAGTTAAAGCTAGCGGGCCGGCAAGTCTAGTTCCATTTCATGGTTTGGTTCTACGACAGATGGGAGCTTTCCAAGGTCTTCGTGTTTTGATAGACTTCTTTAATTTTCACCTGCTTTAACGCACTCAATACAGTTTTCTCCCTGAACTTGGATTTCGCGGTAGATTTTCAGGGCCGCCAGATGTGAAAGGTTGCCGGACTTTTCATGGCGAGCTGGCCAGC